GCATCATTGAAAAATATCTTTTTTAAATTTAAAAATGTTAACTATACCCAAAACCTATTTTAATCATAAAAAATACATTTATTATAAGACCAACTTTGTTTGAATAATAAAAATATAAATGATATTACTATTATTTAAAAATTATATATTGAGTAATATTTGATTATGCAAGTGAACAGTGAGCACTGAAATATATATTTATATAATAACTTAAGCACCAAGCTGTTTGTATAGTATTGGAACATAATCATCATATTGAGCTTGATAGAAATTTCCGGCCACTGGATTTCCCAAATTGTATTTAAGTGCAAATTTAGCGATAGAAAATTTTTCACGCTTTTCTGCCGATCTGTTAGTTAAACGAGGTTCATCAAAATTCAACTTTGACGGTTGTTTATAAGCTAAGAATACATAACGGTGAAGTCCTGTAACCAAAAGAATATATTATAAATAACAATTAAAAAATTTTTTTTTCAATTATATTATCTTACCAGTCTCTGGTGGTGGTCCTGAGCCTACATATTCAGAAAGTGTTTCACCCTTAGCAATATCATTACCCGGAATATTTCCAACAAGCCAATGATGCCATTCTCTGAATGTGTGTTCCTTACGGCTCGGAGCATCAGGATCTAAGACAAAAATTATCAACTAAAATAAATTGTAATGTTTAATACTATAAATATATAATAATATCATGCACATGTTTTTATACCTCAAAAAGGGTGTACATTTATGCACAAAGAAATAATTGGAGATATAATGTAGGTTAACATTACCTGTCATACAAAGAGTATACAAAGCATTTGCATCAGCAGGCCAGCTTACAGACGGTTCATCTTTTACTTGAGTAGGTGTGAGTTCATTACCCATATTAACAATCACTCCACTTGGGTATGATACCTATAATATAAAATATTTATACCTTCTTAAACACGGATCACATAATTTACATTTTCAAATTTATGGTACCTATATTTTTTTTTCATGATGTTAATCATATATTAAATTATAAATCTATTATACAGAATAATTAAAATATTGACATTAGAGAGTCAAAATCAATCCAAAACCTTCAGTGCAAGCTAATGTACCATTAGTATCCTATTCCTTCCTCTTTATTTATCATAACATATAAATTATCAGAGCATATATTATTATTAAAATAATTATAAAGTCAATTAACAGGTTACTGATATATTTTTTTCGTCAATAAAACATCTTGGGCAGATATTTCTTTTTTAGTATACATTTTTAACATTCTTTGATATTTTATTATAGATATGAAACTAAATAGGTATATTTTAAATTTTATTTTTTGATAATTTTTGATTATATGGTTATTTTTTACTGATTTTGATATATTTTTTGTATTTTTAAAATTTTTTTTTTACATTATTTTGACAAAACTAACGTATTGCATACAACCTGATCTTTAGATTATTTTTCTAAAAATACTGATTCATTTTTGTAATTATTTTGTATTACTAACATTTATTATCTCCGTTTTAAATTTAATTTAGAACTTGTCTATAAAAAAAAAAAACATTTAATGTATAAAAATATTAGCATTGTTTAAATTTAGATGAATAAATAATAAATTAATGATTAAAAATATTAATTTAAAAATGATTGTTTTTTGATAATTTATTATTTATTAAAAAAAACGAAAATTTTGAAAATATTAAGTTATTATTAGGTATTTTTAAGGTAATTTTTTGATGTTTATAAATCATTTTAATACTTTTTTACAATGCATTTTTTAAAGATTTTTAAGCCATCAAGTCTTGAGCCTTACTTATAACCATAGATTTGTAAACAGTTTATTTATTTTTTTAATTTTGAGAAATTAAAATAAATTAACCAAAATAATAATGTAGAAGTTGCTATTGTAAAATAGATTCTTCTATAAGCCAATATCTAAATATTATAAAACCCTTTTTAAACTTTAATGTTTGGAGAATACTCAAAATATCATAGGGAAAATCAGTGCATTGGAAACTCTCTGACCTAGGCAGCTAGACCCACACTCAACATACAAAATGTAATTTTAATTCAGCAAGCCCAATCATGAGTTATAAGATTTTATACTAGACCATCATTTATAATTGCACATATTAAGCTCTTTTCTATGATTTAATATATTTTTGCAATATTTAAATATTTTTAAATTATATTTTATACTACGTTAATTATGCCTTGCATGAAAATGGTAGTCTCGTATAAACCAATGTACAACAAATACAGATTAAAACACATATGATAATAAAACATTACAGTCATTAATTATAAACTTAACAAGACAAAATTGGTTTTGCTGAACTCAAATTTATCATTTTGTGGGAGAGTTACTGAGAGCAAACTGATGTCTAAAGTGGTGACTGGTGATACCACTGACACCGTCTTAAGGTTTCGAGTGTTTCGACGATAAAAATAAACATAATGTTTTACTTCAATTTTGTCGCTGGGCGCAACGGCAATCACATCTGGTACGACTTCGTGTTCAAGCATGGCGGCGGATTTTGTCGAGTAAGATGAACGAGCAATGAACGCGGCGTTTAACTGTGAAACGATTAAATGTTTAGGTCGAGCGGTAAGGCGACAACAATTAATGGCGGATTTTATCAGCAATGCCATCTATATTCTATAATACATGTACCGGTAAATTAAAATAGATTAAAAATTGCTAGAGGGATACTCACAAGTTTAAAACAATATCTGTGGATTGTGATAGTATAATATTGTGGTATCAAGACTATCGCGTATACTTACGAATTTTATTCAGATGATTTCAAAATATCTATTGTGAATAATTTTTTGGAGAAAAAGCCAACTTAATGATGGATCAGTTGATACTATTATAATATCAAATTGATAAGAAGTAATTGATGGTCCACTAACTAAAAGTACCGCTTGGAGCACTGCAATCCAATTTAGCTAGATTAAATAAAATGGTGTTTCCCAAACTTTTTCTTTGCCGGACTTCTTAGATAATATAGTGAAATTGATTGCGGATCCCCTTAATAAAAATAAATAACAATACTAATTTAATTACTTTATTTTCTGAACTGAATGTACATATTTTTATGATGAAAAATTGAATTAATTTTTTAAAAAATGAATAAATAAACATACCTATTATTTGTTTAATAAATTTTTTTATAGTGTGTTTAATGTGATAGATAAAGTAGTTTTTCAATTTACGTTCTAGGGCCCCCTCCGGTACACAAGCGGACCACAGTTTGGTAAACGCTGGTGTAGACTACTGTTGACAGGTCACGAGTCGAAAGGTTAATTTAAAAAAAAAATTGTAAACTGTATGTCATGGCATCAATGCATCATGTATTTAGTACACAAGTATACGGTATGATATTTGGGTAACATTTTACCGATGCAGATTTATTTCTTAAATATTGTACACCACCAATCCGTTTCATTTTTCAGGCATAATTTCTATTAACCCGATGATTTCCTTCCATCAACAAGTTCAAAATACACATTTTCTATCCAAGGGGCAAGAGCACTTTACCTATCTCTTTAGTTACCTATCCATTTGTACCTATTAACTATTAATAACACAATCTCAATCCGCAGTTTATACGTTACTAGCTGAATTACCCGGCTTCCCCCGTGTGTAGTTTGTGCTTTTTCAAAATTTTACTTAATTTTATCAAGTGTTGAATAATAGTAGTAGCTGAATTATAAATAAAACAAAAATATAATGATCGCTCGTAGGAGTATTTGGTACAACTTAGTGAAAAAAAAAAATAAGAAAAATGTGATAGTGTCGTCACAAAACGGAAACATAAAAAAAGGGTTGTTATTTTATATACATAAGGATTTATTTTCTGTTCGAATTTTGTTTTATTTCTATATTTTAAATATAATTATTTTAATAATATAATTGTAACTAATAATATTGTAATCGTCAAGACGTTACTAATTAAGTATCGAAATAGATAGTCGGTAATTATTATTTAACTACTGACATTCCAATAAACATACCTAAATAATATATTACATTTAATGACTTTCTGACATTCAACACGTAATCTGCCAGCCTCTGTAGTTGTTTAGACGCTATAAGTTTTTTAATAAATAAATTATTATTATTCTACCTATATATTTTAATACTTTCTGTTTTATTTTTCTTATAGGTACCTAGTAAGCATATACATATCGTTATTAATAATAACTTATTATTAATTTTAATTAATAAGCATAATAATAATTTACATGATACATATTTTATTATAATTTATAAGTGTATTGTGTAATGTGTAGTGTATATACCTACATAATTTTTACCAATTGTTTATAATATGTATATGCTTAATATACCAGCTGTTACCTAATCATAAATTATAATCATAATTTTATTTACTGATTAACTATAACGACAATTGATATTCGTTTAGACAAATTACCTTATTTTTAATATTTATGTATTTTAGCTGTGCAGGTATACTTACATTGTTTTAACACAAATTATGTCTTTATAACGCCTCAATTATTCAGTTAAATTATAAATTATATATTTATACTTATTAAAAACATTAAAGTTTCAAAGTTTATAAATATTCAACAATAATGACTTTGAAATATTAAATAATGGCAGAATCGTTTTGTTTGAAAAACTTAGATAACTAAATTTTTATACTTGGTATTTTTAAAACATTGAATGATTAAAAATATAACACATATAATACATACTTACTTTCATATACTATTTATGTGGCTATAAACCTATTCTATAAATAATTATACGCAGGCATGCAGCCTCTAGGTATCTTAAATTTAAAATATAGTTTCTGCAATGCTAAGTTCTAGCCACCGCACTTCCGATCTATAAGTCTCATATATATCATAAGCATAACATAGAAAATACTGTAATCCAAAAAAAATAAGCTTAAAATTCCAATACATCTAAAAACTTTTTAATAGTTTAAATTGTACTTATCTTTTGACTACATTCAGTAGGTAGGTATACTACTGCAATTTTGCTAAATAGCTTTTATATTCTGATCAAGTACCATCCTAATAACTATCTACGTTTATACTAAAAATGTATAGCTAATATTATAAATTATTCAAGTTTTGAATATTATTAGTGATTTATTATAGCTAAATCACTATCAATTATTAAAGTTTGTCTTTAACTCCTATCAGTCATATTCATTTAATAACAATTTCTCATATTCTACAAATTATATTTAGTTATTATCATGAGTAATACCATTGAGTATATATAGTTTATATACTATATATACTCATTGGTAATACTCAACAATTATTAGGTACGATTTGTGTTACGCTAATAAAATAAAATACACAGAGCAATAAAAACTATCATTTAAATAAATTATAGGTATTCTTATACGAATAATAAAAATTTAATAAGTATCTACTTATAAATATAATGTGAAATGTTAAAGTATTACTATATCTATAATTATTATAAAATTATCAATAATGGAATTAAATAATTGATAATATTATGAGAATAACAAGTCAATATAAAAATAAAAATATTAGAAATTCATATAAATATAGTATTTCTGCAGTTGAACTTAAAATTCATATTAATTAATGAATAGTCATCAGTAGATAACTTATTATTTATAACAATTATCTAATAAATTATAAAGATAACCTAACTTAAAAAACACAAACCTACATTAAGCACCTATTATATAATATTATGTGTGTGTGTGTGTGTGTGTGTAGAAGTAGGTACGCTACAACAGTACCTATAATAAATATCTACCTATATCGCATAAATATATTATTCATATTAATAAAAAGGAATATTAATTGTATTTATGTTTTATGTTTAAGCGATTCACAGCCAACTATTCTATAGCATTCATGGTTTTGAAATTTAGTACATAGGTTCCAAGAATGTTCACTTTGAAGTTAATTTTTTTAATTGTGTATTTTAAAGATGGATTCGTACAAAGAATTTGTTACGGAAAATGACAAATTAATATTTTTTGTCTGTGTACGATTGCCATTTATTATATAAAATAAAATAGATATTATGTAGCATATTATTTTAGACCTGTCACATTATCCAAATGAATTGTTTTAAAAATATGTACAGTTTTCGTTTAACAGAGTTCAACACAAAATCGACCACAATTAATAGATATATCTGTCGTATAAAGTCGAAGAATTATAACGAATGAACTTTGTGTAAATCTACAATTTTCGACCGATTTTCTTAAAATTTTTATCAACAGATTCAAAAAATTCACGGTGTCATATATTGTATTTCAATACTACTTACTAGTTACTTTTTACCTCCAATACATTGAATGTAATTGACTTATGAAAAACAATCATTTTTTTATTATATATAATTTCCGTCGATTACAAAAATAATATATTTATTACTTATTAATATCATTTTAAACTTATTTTATAGTTAGATAAAAACAAACCAAATAACTATATTAAAAATCTGTGTAACTTACTTTTAACGAAATCTATGAAAAGATATATTCACAGATATTTAATTTGTCGCGAGTATCGCAGGATCAGCAAGTATTATATTTTAAAGTAAAGCAGACGTTGTACAAACATGTTCAGTGGGACCAATTATCGTATTGGAATAAATTTAAAAAAAAAACCAATAAGTAGTAGGAGACTGCAAACTTAAATTATTAACATGACTACCAGGTAATATTTAAATTAAGAAGAAAATTTTCTGAAATTATTAGACAACAAAAAAATAATTTTTATTTTACTAATTTATAAATTATATAAAATACTGCAAGATTAAAATAAAAAGTCATTAGACACCTAATTAGTATTTCTACGTAATAAATATTTTTTCAATTTTTTTAAATATAGGCTTACTAATTTTTATTAAATTTGAAGAAAAATTAATTAACTCCAAATTGTTTGTATAGAATTGGAACATAATCATCGTACTGGGCCAGATAAAAATTACCAGCCACGGGTATTCCTAATTTGTATTTCAATGCAAATTTATCAATTGAAAATTTCTCACGATGTTCCACAGATCTATGTAAACAGAATAAATAATATATTATAAAACAAAAAGTAATAAATAATATATATGAAAATGAAATTATTATTTTTAATGGTTAAGTATAAAAAACAAACGAAAGATTGATTAGTTCGTTCAAGCATAATATATGTATGTAATAATTATATCTAATCACTAATCAGTTATAATATTTATGATTATATTACCTATCGCTTATACGTGGCTCATCGAATGTAAGTTTTGATGGTTGTTTGTATACTAAAAACACATATCGATGTATTCCTGGAAAATCATTTTTTGTTCATTAATATACCTAATTATCTAATAATGATTTGTTAGTAATTAGCCTATTGATACTTTAATCATTATAGTACCGGTTTTTGGTGGAGGTCCAGAACCTACGTATCCAGTAAGTGTTTCTCCCAGGCCCACATTTTCACCAGGTATGTTTCCGACTAACCAATGATTCCATTCTTTATTTGTAGGTTCAGCTCGGCTCGGAGCATCAGGATCTGAGAATAAAAATCAAAAATAATATAAATTTTTAATACCTACCTACCTATTTGTTTAAATTATTGAGTACTTACCAACTAAACATAACGTATAAAATGAATTAGGATCAGCATTCCAACTAACTGACGGTTGGTCCTTCACTTTAATAGGTTTAAGTTCATTACCAAGTAATGCTTTCGCGCCGTTCGTATAATTTACCTATAATACATTTTTTATTTTTACTCCCGATTTATAATAGCGTATAGTGCCTTAGTAATGAGGTATATTTTTTTATTTACTTGTAAAAATTCTTTTGGGGCAATAGGAATTACATCAGGTACCACTTTTTGATTTTCCATAGCTTGGTCGACATTAAAATTGTTTGCAGATACACCGATCGTGATACATATCTGTAAAATATAGAGTAATTTTTTTTTTATATAATAAACCGATAGAATTTTAAAAGCAAAAAATATTTATATCAAAGAAATTTCTTACTAAGTACAAACTAAAGCGCCACATTCTTGTCTCTTCAAAATTAAAAAACCAATAGGTTAAGTGATTTTACTAAAGTTTATCGAAGACGACTGAACTAAATGGTGAGCAAACAGTTAATGAACTTAAAACGTTTACTCGGAATTAAATATAGAGAATAATCATAATAATATTATATACTACTACTTCTACTAGTACTACTACTATAGGTAGTAGGTAGTTTTACTTTGGTCTTTGAAGGTCATAATAACTTTGCAGTATACTACAAAGGATCATGGAACTAATTATTTACATAATTACCAAAAACAAAAAGCTTAAGTAACTAGTTTTTTATTACCAACAATAATTTAAAGTTAAAAAGTTAAAAACATAACAATAAATGTCTGAAAAAAATATTGAAGCACATTATCAAACAATTAATAATTTATTTTAAATGTAAAAATAAAAAAATATTATATACACGTTTTATATTTATAATTTTATAATAATATAATTATATATAGATTGTTCAACAGATGTAAATATCTTGAAAAATTATACACGTATTATTTGATTTTGTAACATAATTTATAACTTGATTATCATAAAACATTTAGTATTTTCTTAATTACTTAGTTAATTCTAAAAAATAAATGATATAATTAAATTTGGTGGTTTAAATGAAAGTGTATATAAGAATTAAAAATAATAAACATTATAAAAATCAAAAATTAAAATACTTGTTCCTACCATTTTATATTTGTATAATTTTAAAATTAATTTTTAGTAGAAAAAAGTGAAGTATCTACATATTAGCAGAGCATTAGATGTAGTATTTTAACTAAACTTATACTAGCTTTGGTTATTATAAAATAAGACTTTTTTTTTTTTATAATACTACATGATATAAATGTATTTTTAACATATTCTTACTTACCTCTTGCAAAACAATTATTCAAAACATCTTATCAAAAAATTAAAATTAAAATTATAAGCATCAAATGTATTTAAAAAACAGTATGCAAGTTATTTTATGGAATAAACTATACACTAGAATAATTACTTTTTTGATGTGCATAAATACAAATATCATATAAGTACAGCTATATAATAGGTATTTAATTACAACTTATAAAAACTACTATTTTTTATTATTACTATAAATTTTAAAAATATATTCATTTTAAATACTCAGATTATGTTAAATGATATACAGAACCTATAACCTATCTTAATTATCTCATAATATATAGATTGTAGCCTGTAGATATATAAGTATATACACATCTCGGCATATTTAAATTTAATAAATTGTGAAAACTAACAATATTTAATATACATATTTGTATATTATTGTATATTTTAAATGTTTAAAAAACTCAAGTAGCATATTCGTGTGTAAACCACCTAGGTAATTATCTAATCGTAATGAAAATTACTTTTAGTCAAAACTGAAACTCATACATATTTCATTTTTACTTTTTGTTTTAATATGAAAGTAAGAAATCTTTATGTTCTGTAGTTCTATATTATAATATAAATTATAATAGGTAGTGTCTACAAACTATTATGATTAAGCTTTAAACATATATAACCAGGTAATTAAGAACATAATACCTTTATTTAAAATAAACTCAACTTACTTCACAAATCATACAAAATCTGTGAAAACTTTTGTTCAATATTTGTTTCCTGGGCAAGACTAATGCATTATGCATATTGTCATACTATCATACTATTATCAACATCAAGTTTTCATTATTCTTGACTAATTAGTATTAACATATCTTTTTTCATATAATATTATGTATTATTTATGACATAATAAATCATGTTGACATCACCTAATAAATGTAGTAAATCTTATTAATTATTCTGACATGTTCTAAAATCATAAATACTTGTATAAGTAAAGAATAGGTAGGTGTTACCTAAAATCTACATGGTTACATATAGCTTAGATTATAAAAATTCAATACTTAAATAATCAGTAGGTACATAAGATTATGACAAACCTAGTGGTACAATTAACAGTCAATTAGACAAAAACCCCAAATAAATCGGGACTGAAACATCGTTAATACCAAATTACGATATTTATATTTTACAATTTACTATGATTTAAGTATCTACTTACATGGCTATTGGCTACATAGTATAATTATACTATATTATATAAAAACATAACAAACTCGCATAATATCTTATATATTTTGTTCTGTATATTATTATTCACTTCTTCGCCTAACTTTTTGATAACTAACTAATGATTACTTAAATAAATACTCTAACTATCGATTACTTAAATAAATGTTTAATACCTACTTATACGTACAACATATTATACTGATATACCTAATATATACCGAAGCAAGATCATCGTTAGCTCGGTGTATTCTTACTTCCTACTTCTAAATCAGATGTACTGTGTACGTAAAATATATTATATTTTAATTTAATTATAATTTACTTTAAATTGGACACAGTAAAAGTATAGTCTTGTTAAATTTAACATTGGAATCTTTTCATATTCCTTAATTTTGTATTATCGATCACTGATACATAACATTACAGATTGACTATCTTTCAAGTTACAGCCACATGTCCAAAGTACATTATTAATTTTTAGTTTTTTAAATTTTGAGCGGAGCAAAATGTTTAAAAGTAAAAGTTTTGTAACGATGAATGTTTTTTGTAACAGTAAACACTTTTTAGGGCAGTGGCTGGTAAATAGTAAATAATTTATAAAATTAAATTTTATAATCGAGAAAAATTAAAATTAAAATTATGGAAAAACGGGGATTTTTACACAAATCTAATTTTTGATAAGACAATTTTTTTTTTTTATAATTCAAAACAAATAACCAATAACCATATAGATACTTAAAATTTCTACAAAATGTTTATAATATCGTTTTTTATTTATAATAATTTTTTCAAAACACTTTAACTATTTTTGAGCTATTTTTTTTTTCTAGAAATCTTGATTAAAAATTATTCGTTTTATAAAAATTCTTGAAAATTTATTACAAAGCTCCTCTCATAAATTGTACTTATATCTATTTAAAAGTATTAAAAATACATAGGTATCCATAATTTTTTTTTTTGTAAGCATTTGAAATTAGAACTCAAGATCAAAAAAATTACTGACTATTTTGTAGTTAAAAATGTATTGAAACTTTTCTTTTTATATCTAAGTTTTGAAAATTTAAAACAAAATTCCTCATATGTAGTTCATATTGGAACCATAAAATCTGAAAAATATATTATTACAGTTATTTTTATAGACATTTAAAGTTCTAATTTGATCAAAATCACTTATTTAAACAATAATAAATAACAATTTGTTAATTATTTTGTTATAATTTAAAAATTCCTCCATTTTTGATTATTCTTAAATTTTTCACTTTCAATTTTTAGCATAAATTATCTAACTTTTCTATAAGAAATATGTACTAAATCTGAAGTCTAAATGAAACATAATCGTTTCATAATCATATTTTCAAACAAAAATAATTTGACAATTATACAGCAAATGGGATTATTGGGGGGGGGGGGGGGGGCAAAACGGAATACAAACGACTAGTAATATCAAAAAAATATAAATCACTTGGTTAGGTAGACCTTGATAAACCGTTTCCACTCAGAATTGTTTTTTGTATACAATGATACATCACTGAATTCAAATTTAACACGCTTATAGCCTATAGGTTATAATAGTAACACACTCAACACCTAATACACAGCGGAGTGTTATCCATTTACCTACTTTTCTTTGACTGTATTTACATTTAAGTAAAAGTTAAATAAGAAAAAAAATATGCTTTTTAATGAAAAAAATTAATTAAATTAAGCATAATATCTCTTATCATTTTTATTTGTAAAAATAAAATTTTTACTATTACTTATTGTTTTTTATTACTATAACATTACCTATAACCTATATATAATATATTTTTAAATAATATTTTACAAAGTGCTCTAAAAATATCTAAAACAACATGTAAAAATAGGCATATGGTGTACTTTGAATTGTTTAAGACCGATTACATTTTATAGAGAAGACACTTTTTTTATTTGACTTTTTGGACCACCAAGTCTAAGTGTCTATAGTAATGCCACTAAACATGCCCTTTAAGAAACAAAAAAAATTTTAAAAAAACCCCAAATGACCCCAAAAAAATAATCTTATTCAATACATTTCTAACAATTTTTATGAACCCTTATCAAAACGAAATAATTTATTAAATGTTAATATATACTACATATTTATACCTAAGACTTATAGTATAGTTACGTAATATTTAGGTAGGTATATATTATTTAAATTATTATAGCTGTTGCAGTTAATACAAATTATCAATAATAAAAACAAATTGACTTAATTATAAGTTAAGCATTAATCAACAACACGATATATTCATCTAATTATATATCTAATAAGAAAAAAATATGATTTAAATTACGATTATTACGGTTATCAGGACATAAATTTATAGATAACCGTTAGCTATTGCATGTTTGAACTTCAACTATGTATACCACTAAGCCACTATTCACTAAACAATTATCAGACATAAAATATAAATATAATATTTTAAAATAGGTGTACTTTATTTTCACAAAAAAGTAAAAACTGTACATTTTTCACCATTGTTTTTTTCGTGTTTGAATCATTTGTAACAATTTGTTAAAAATATTCTTAAGCTTGTAATAATATTTCTTTAATGAATACCTTTTAAATTCTGGCTCACTGCAATTATGACTAATTCGGAATACGTTCGTTCGTTTTTTTTTATGCGCCTCCGATCTATTCAACACCGAAGATGTCAGATACACAAACAAGATTTCAATAAATCTTAGTTAAACCAACTACTGATATAACTAATTTAATTAAAAATGAGTATATTGGCTTTATTAATAATTAAAACCATGATCTAACTGCGAGAATGATTAAAAATTTGAAATATGTTCCACAAACCAATAGATTGAAGTTACCGTATAATTACCTATTAAAAAAGAGTAGATATCTACTCTTTGACTTTACAAAGTGTTATTTTTTTGACAACCATCACGCCTTTTAGAGCGATAAAATGTTTCGATTTTCTACTTCAATATATTTTCTAATATAAAAATAAATCTAGTTGGTAGATAAGTAAAATTTAAACATTTTTTCTACTAATTTTGGTAAAAAATTATTCATTCGATTAAAAAACTTGAAAATATATTCAAAGGTTTCTTCCTTATAAATCATAGATCATTATTATTAAAACTCGAAAATTTAAAAAAATTATAGAAATACAAATTTTATAGACATTTAAAGTCCAAATTTTTTCGAAATTAAATATTTAAATGAAGAATAATGATTTTAGTTATATTGTAGTAATTCAAAAATATTATTCGTGTGTACTTGAAGAATTTACATAAAATGCAATGACATTTTCAAAATATATTAATTTTAAACTATGATTTATTTTTAATTTATACCTACCTACTACCAATAGTAAAATATATTGCTATAATAGTAAGTTAACAGCATTATCAAATATTTATTAAGTAAGTAGATAGTTGTAATGTAACAATATAGTTTTCTCTAAGTTACGTTTGACTTTAGCTTTACTACTCTATTCCGAATTTAGGACTTCTAATTAACTGCAATAAAATATTTCTTTTTTTTTTTAGTTATAATTTCACTGTGTTATCTTAGTATCAAAATATTCAACTATAAAAAAGGTTGTAAAATAGTATATTAAAGGAAAACAAAATATATAATAAATATGAACCAATATACGATATACAATCTGCAAAAAATATACAAAAACTTAAAAAAGTAGGTACCTCAGTACTTTGGAGTTTGTTGCCTTTAAAATGTCCTAACTCCTGACCTAAGCATACATAATCTTAGTACTTACATTAGGTATAATTGTATGAACATCATTCACACTAACGCATAAGATAAATCATAAATTTAAAATAAAATATTACTTATTCATTACTATAATAATTATTAATTACCTATTATTAAATAATATTATTTATAGGCACTAGGCAGGTATGTCATATCTCATATGGCTGTTGGCGGGTCGTTAAAATATTTCAGATAGCAGTGCGTACAACTGCGTTCAGGCACGATGGCGACACTGTAGTTAACATTGAATCTGCAATCTTTTTATTGCTGTCGACAACCTGGTAACCGGTTAATGGTGAATGGTTCTAGTTCTATGGGTAGTGGGTACTACGTCTTCTAGGCTAATTTATGGCTTTAGTACCTCTGTCCTCTACTCCTCAGTCCACTCTTCAATATTCCAATCACATTACTTCCTACTTTCATAGTTCTTTGTTGTCGTCGCGGTTAACGCGTGTGCGCCTGATATTTTCTAATTAATTCGAAAACCGCTAACAGCAATCCAAACTAACAATGGGCGTTGATGTTACATTCCTTGCCGAAGGAGACGGTAAGTTAAGTCCTATACTACTGCTCTGTGACCGCGTCGATCGTTCGGCTGACGGCTGATTTCAAGAGCAACCGGCCGGCGTCCGCGTCTCACGCGTATTTCAAAATTTTGATTTTTCAGTGTAAGACAACGAAAAATGCTTTTGGTTAATTGATATTTAACTAGGCAGACGCGTATGGCCGTGTGTGATCCCTGTTCGAAGATTATACAGCTCTTTTGCTGATTATGCTCATTTTGTGTTTTTTTTCACAGGTGCCACATTCCCAAAACGAGGCCAAACCGTCACCGTTCACTACACAGGTAACGTGCAATCAAATTTATTTAAATGACATGACCGGTAATGCCACTCAAATTTGCTTGAAAAATATTTATACAACTGCCCCCTTATTGCTGTGAGCCTCACTTAAACATTGGCCATTAACCCATAATTTTTAATATGTTTTAGTGCCATTAATTTCCTTTAATGTTTTATCTCCAAAAGTTGATAAAAAAGTATTAAGCATGTTGAAAAAAAATTAGCATTGCTTTATGAAAAACTAGAAAACCTATTCTAGACACTTTACTGTAATTGTTCTTTAAATGGATAGGGGGGGGGGCACCACACCTTAAAAGTAACTGGGACATTTGAAACTATTTAATCTGTCATAGATTTAAAACACTATTTGCCAATATATAGTTGCTTCTTAATTTGATACCAAAATATGTGTAATAGGTACATTGACTGATGGCAAGAAATTTGATTCATCGCGGGACCGTAATAAGCCTTTCAAGTTCAAGATTGGAAAAGGAGAAGTGATCAAAGGTTGGGATGAAGGAGTTGCCCAAGTAAGAAAATTTAATTTGTATTAAATAAGCTAAATTAATTTCTTATCTTAAATTGTTTAATTTTTCTAGATGAGCATTGGTTCTCGTGCTAAACTGACATGTTCTCCAGATTATGCCTATGGTGCTCTGGGACATCCTGGTGTCATTCCGCCAAATGCTACTTTGATTTTTGATGTTGAACTCATCAAATGCGAATAAAAATGTACACAACCCATGATATTATTACTACTTACTTATATACTTAATTAAATAATGCACCTTCAAGACTGACCAATATGTTTTTCCGATCAAAAAATTTCATTGCTAAATAACTGTCATGAATTAGTGTTAGAAAAATATTATCTTAACAAATTTACTATAGTTGCTGAATTGCCAAAATTATCTATAAGTGATTTCTAATTATCAATATGAATAATCTATTACTTAATAGAATTTTATTGTAATGCGATAATTATGTATCTTTTTTTCTTTTTAATTACACAAAATTAAAATAGAATACAACGATCAATAAACAAAATGTCTGTAATTATAATTAATGTTTTGAATTGTTTTTTATCCACAACGATTGTCATAAAATCAAGCTACTATTTAATGAAATGACTTAACTACTTGGTTATTCTCAAGCATTTGTAATGGTATGTTGTATACCGTTAATCCTAGAATACAAGTGAACATTTTCCTGAAAATATTGTATGAAGAAAGTATACTGGGTTATTTTCCTAATAATTATAAATTAAGTATTTTTTGTGATTATGCATATTAAATATTGAGTATAAACATTCAACTTAGTGTCAGGTATAGTTCAATGCTTTAAATAGAAAATTTTACGAACTAGAACATTTATATGTCTTTAATTTAGTACATTTTTTGAATATTTTTGAGTGATAAACAAAATTATTGGATATATATTATATATATATGATGATAGTTGATGGATAAGAGTTCTCAGAATACGTTATCGATAGTATCTGTGGGTTAGGTTATATTTTTTTTTTAACGGGCTTAATTATTATGTAGGTACTTTCCATGTATAGAATTATTAATATTTTTCTTTGGCTATAAATATAATACCATCGGAAACGTCTTATCGAGTAACAATTTTCTTGATTTTTCTATATTTACTTAATATTTTTCTGATACTTTGAAATTAAGATTTTTTAATTTGTGTCAAGTAAATTATACTAAACAACGGTCACTGACTAGTTTTTACTATAATTGTAAATTTGTAATACTATAAAGGGGTAAAGTAGACTTGTTTCAGCCGTTCGGGATCTACTGAAATAAACTACAGACTAAAAGCTTTCTTAAAGTCTGTTAATTGTTAAACTGATAACTCATAGTGACATTTTGTTTTTTACTAAACATTTCTAACAGAATATCAATATTATTTTTATAAATAATGAAATAATCAAATTTATTGCACAATGCATATACATTTTATCTACATCGTATCTTATTGAATAGCTAACTAAATTTTAAAATTGTTTCCTCGACTTGGTTGCGGAATACATTCCCACACAACATATTTGGTATCATTGAATATTTTGTAGATGGGTTATTCATTAATTTCAATTTATTGATAAATCAAATAGGTTAAATCCCAATATCATGTACATAAATGTGTAATAACAAAGTGCACCCGGATGATGGTGTGTGATGCGGGATCGGATCGGTATGAAGTTCTAGATCTAGAACATACCATATTAACCTACTCTAATAACTATTGCACTTATCAATGCTTAACAATAAATTATTTTGTTTACACCAGGTTAATAAAAAGTAATTTTGAAGTAGGACAAAATCCGAAGATGACTACTAATCGAAATAATTTTAAATTATTGTTGAACAGAAGTTTCAGCGACTTCTAAAAATGTGAATCATGAATGTAATAAACAACATAAATAATAACGGAGATAAATATGAACCTAATAAAAGTAGATATATCAAAAATCGTCAACCCTTATGCATGGAGTATTACAGAATGAAAATGTAGAATGATAAAAATGGCGGTTGAACGTGGAAAAGAAGTGCCATATAAGATTATTTCCTTAAAAATAAAATTATACCAAATTGTTTTTCGTGGTTTATTTAGTTTAAGTAAAACAGAATATGACAATAATACTCAGCACCCGACCTAGGAGGCGGGGGGAAATCCGAGGCACGTGCCCCGGGCACTGGTCATAAAGGGGCGCAAATTTCTAATTATAATAAAAAAAAAAAAGGTTATTGATATAAAAGGACGCCAATTTCATATTTTGTGCCGGGTTAAAAAAACGTTAGATCCGGCACTGTTAATACTATAGAGTAAATGAATATGTATATTTTTAAAGAATTTAAATGACCACCAATTGTAAACTGAATTTTGATTATTATTATATGTATACTCGTATCAACCATTAAAAATATTCGCTACTTGACTTAGAAGCTTTAATAGAAATTTATTAAGAACAATAATATTTCACTGTGTAGAATAACCCTATAGTACCCCAATAAACAATATAATATTAATCGACTTAATTGGTAAAGAATTTAATTTTAATAAATAAAAATTGATTTGATTAATGTTAAAAGAATTTTAAATTTAAAAAAACATTCTAAATACGTTTTTGTTGAAATAAGATGTGTTAGTCGTTTGAGAATTTGAGATACTTTTTGCTAAAGAAAATATATGGAATAAGAACACAAGTGAATACCTTTGAATTATAATTAGGTAAAGTTTTAGTAAATATATACAAAATAAATAAAAAATATTGCATGACCCATAGCACATTAAGCATGTATTAGATGTAACCACTAACCAATATTTTATAGTGTACCTATATGTATACTTATAATTATGTGTACGATAACAGTAGAATAGATATATTAGGTATGCGATAATACATTAATAATTTAATATACAATCGTAAAATAGGCACAATCGCTAAAATCCACTAAAACATATTCAATTATGCGTAGTTTACTCGATACAAAAACTATACGCTTGAATAATAATCAATAATTTTTTTAAGTACCCAACTCATTTGTATTATAAATATTGGCAAACATTGTAAAGACGATTAAATTATAGGGCTTGTCAATAAAATAAATGAATATTTATTTAATAAAATGACGTAATATTAAATTTTATTTAACTTTTAGTATGCTCTCCAACGGCGACATGGTGACTTCTGTATGCACTCTACCGTCTACCGTGTTTTATCATTTTACAACCATATTTAGATTTTCGACAATTTATTCTCGTAATAAGTGGACGATGTAAATATCGGTTAAACGACGAACAAAAATTATTAAAAATATTATATATTATTAGCAACCGTTCGTCGTCGTATCGTTATTCGTTTAATTATTATTATTCATTAATAATTATAAATATAAATAAATATTAAAATACTTGTGCCACATCTCTCAGAAATGCGTCAAATGTATCACTTTTATTCATACTTCTCCGCTACGTTTCAATAACATACTTGTAATAGTTATTATATTTAAACACATAATTATATTATTATATTTAAATATTATACCTTAGAAGCAAATATGAGTTGTACCGCACATATTTGTCTTAAAATTACTGGTAAATACGCATGTATATTGTATAATGGAGTTAATATAAGTAGTTAGTTAATAATTTTTTAGGCTTAAAAATCAGATTATACTCTAGCTTAATTAAATTCGCGGGGTATTTCATGTTGCAAAGTTGGCCCTTATGACTTAGTAGAGAGTTGAATGCGGATATTTTAATGGACTTTGTCGAATTCCTAACTTATTCGGACTTCTTTTGCCCGGTCTACAATCGCTATGGTCCCAGTTTAATACTAAAATTTGTTTAGCAAATTATACAGTAAACTATATGAAATTTTAACTATAGTTATAAATTTAATTTTTAATTTAAAAAAAAAAAATGTCCAAGTACGTTTATAATGAAATAAGATGTGATAGACGTTTGGGATATTTATTTTTATTTTGTTCATGAAAAATTTGTGAAGTAAAAACACGAATAAACCATTGAATTTTATATTTAATGTTAGTAAATAAAAAGTGTAAAGACAAAAAATTGTATGACGCATAACACATTAAACACATGTACCTAACAAGTATTACACTGTATATATGTATTAACATTGGTAATTTAATAAATTTATAAAATACAAAAATAAATCCGCTATAACATTTAAAAGTTATGCAGTTTACTCAATAATTAAAACTAAATGCTTGAATAATAATCAGTCATTTTCTAAAAGTAACTTAATTAATATTAACATTATTATTATTGGCAAAGATTGTGAAGACGGTTAAATTATAGGTTTTGGCAATCAAATAATTGAACATTTATTTAACAAAATTGATGAAATATTATGTCTGCTCTATATAAAGCGACTCATAAATACGCATGTAGATATTCATTTAAATAAGTTCGGTTCTAATATTTAGTGACGTTTAAGGTAATTTTTTCGTGGATGAATTTCACACGCTGACGGACCAACTAAATGTTTATTCCAATCTTGATGATCGCTTCCAATTTCTTCCAAACACAATGGGCAAATATTACTGACAGAATTTCTTTCTAAAAGCAAATATTTAACATTCATTAATCATTATTTATTGTAAGTATTCACCACACGAGTGAATGAATAAATTGTAGGTAACACATTTAATAAAAGGTTCATTTAAAAGTTAGCATGCATAGCTAAATTAATTTAGACAGTAATACTGTATAATGTATAGTCACCAATATTTTTTCAATTATTTACAGTTTTAAACAAAATTCATTAAAAATATTTTACCTACTTAAGTTAGTAACTATAAATGTTTAAATTATAATTTGTACGTAGTAAATTAAAATTTCAGTTCCCCATCAAATAATTCAAATACAAATAAATATTTTAATATTTGATCAAAATAGGTATATTTAGTATTTTATTAGTTTGTTAGTTAAACTTTTTAGCTAAAGAAATAGTAGAAATATATTTAACATTAGAAAGTCGATGTAAAGTAAAATCAAAATAAGTAAATACCTATATAGAACTATGAATAATTGCTTTAATGTACAAAAATAATGAACAGCGATATTGATTATTTTCGCAGCTTGTTTGTGTGAATAAATCGCTATACTTTTAAGATAATCTTACAACTTAAATACATAAACAACATACGTTTATACTTAATCCATAACTAATCTTATATTTTATACTAACTTTTACACGTTGATCCTGAAATATGATGCTCTAGAAATTCGATCTCGACTACTTCTAAACACCGATCGCATGTCGTATACTTATCTTTAAAATCACAGTCTTCTGAAAAAGGACGATTATCAGGACGTATTAGGTTTAAAATTCGTATAGGTAAAATCGTTGAAAAAAATATTAATTAAGTAATAAGTACTTAAGAGGTGATGTCGAAGTGTCATAATCTCAATAACTTCGGAACAATTTTCACAGCGCATCAACAATGGGCAATATTTCCAATAAT